TGGTTGTTGTGCTGGTGCCAGTGCTTGTACTGGTACTGGTTCCAGTGATGGTAGTGGTACTGGTTTCTGTGATGGTTGTAGTGCTGGTTCCTGTGATGGTTGTGGTGCTAGTGCCTGTACTTGTCGATGTGCTTGTTCCAGTGATTGTTGTGGTACTGGTGCCTGTGATGGTGCTGGTGCTAGTTTTCGTAGTTGTACTGGTTGTGCTTGTTGCAGTTGTCGTTGTCGTTGTCGTAATTGTGACTGGAGTCTTGTCCTTGCTGCAGCCAGATTGGAAGCCTATAGCCGCTTTTTCTGGAAAAAGGGCTGATAGGTAGGCTACTCGAGCACCTCGGCCAAGTGCCAAGAAACTTTTTAAAACAGTGTCTGTCACTGCAGCAATTGGATTCCGACTTAAGCAAGATTGACATGGGATAGCATTGGCCCTGTTAGTCCGAAAGGTCTTGTCTTGTTGTCCAAGGTCAAGAAAAGCATAAATGAGTCTAGGTTGATTGAAACAAACGGTAGGAACAGCTCTGATGTCATCAGACATGTTCTGAATGATATGCATTTAGTAGAGCAACATAGTCCAAACAAAGACCAGGTATGTAGATGTCATGCATATATTCACAATGTACTTGTCGCGAGTGGTCTGAAGATCTCTGAAGCTGGAAAAAAAGGTCACTGAGCTCTGCACATATCCCAGGGGCAAAGAGCTTTGCAAGGATTCCATTTGGAGTCTCTTCCAGGGTTGCAGATGAGAGCTTCTGATGAACCTGGTCGCTCTGCAAGTTCACCAATTCGAGATCCTCTTGTGTGAACGCGGTGGAGTACCCCGAGCCAGACAGTTCCATCGTTGCGTGGTCATCACCAGCTTCACAAGACACAGCACTCTCAACCACCAGTTGGTATGCAATAAGATTCGTGCAGCTCTTTCCGCTCAAAGTCAGGGGCAACGACTTCGCGATTTTCAGTTGCCGGACTTCAGCGACGCAAGCACGTTTGAACTTCACCAACGTCTTAGGAGCAAACACAACCTGCAAGTATGCCAGTCGAGCACCTCGGTAAATGCAATAAAATGCCCAAAAATCATCACCGCTTGAATCTCTTCAGGATAAATTGGTATGTAGCCTTTTATTTGGCATTATGTGTTGGGTGCGGCGACCTATGACCTTGGAATCTAAATCCGATTTTTGTTGCAGCAAATCCCAAAAGGGAATGTCACATGTCACGACTTTGCACCATGCATGGCGCATGGATTTGGGAAGTTGCGAATATCGAAGTACATCGAAGTGTAGGCCCCCCCCAAAAAAAGGTGTCTCCCGGATCGGATCCAGTTGTCCGGTAGCACTTACAGTACATATATATATATATATGCTAGCCCCCCCCCTGAGATCCACATTTGATGGTGTTTCCAAGACGTATTTGAGAAAAACGGAAGCAGAAGTGCATCAGATGCAAGGAAACGGTTTTGGATGCATTGGAAATGAAGAAGCCAAGTGTAGATCCTGTAGGGGAAAAGTTGCCTGAAGTCATTGGAATCCAACAGACGAAGCAGACAAACAGAAGACAGGGACCAATGTTAGAGAAGCAAGATGCAGACAGTGTTGGAGCAGCAAGATGCATACATAGAGGAAAACCCTCACACACATTTTTCCTTGTTTCGTTGCGCTAGGACTCTGACATGAACCATTTGTTGCGGTCCAAAGGTCTTGACCCCTCAGCCAATACTCATATTGAGCTGACCATAATTGCATGCGCAAGAAACCGCTGCCCACTTTGGAGTGCTGGTTGATGTTCAACCTATCCTTTAGATAGCGCCAGCAGCGGTCGATGATTTGGGTGCCTGACTTCACCTTTACAGACGTCTTGCTGCCAGGAACCTTGTGCTTGTGGATCTGCACATACGTCGGAGCCACCCACCTGAACTTCCCGTTCAATTGGCTCTCTTCTTCTTGTGTACGACTCGGTCGCGCAGGACTCCAGAGACACTGGTGGCATAGCTTTTGGCAGAATCTGTATGGAGAATGATTTGCCGATCTTGCAGCCACTTTGCAGCCAGAGGTTCCCATTCAACCTTGCGAACGGCTCCAGGCCCAGGCGCTCGGAGTTTTGAGGCTGGAGGTTTGAGGCGGTGCAGCACAAGTGTATCAGGCTTTCCTCGCTGAACTATCCCACACCATTGCTCCCAGTGTAGCTGTCCCTTTTCCATCTTTTTGTCGAAGGTTGCCTCGTCCGCTTCTACATCAGCCCATTTCACACCAGTGCCAAAGCGAATCTTTTTCTCAGCCTTGACAAACCAGGATTCCCGCAACTGGCCCAATCTCTTGCTCATATCTTCAATGGTTTTGTGGTTGATGTGTAGAAGACGATGAACTGCGGCGTGAGGAATGCGATTGAGTAGAAGTAGAAGAAGGGCTGCTTGGGTAGCCAGTGGTGTAGACGAAGAGCCCCAGTGGTTCACAAAAAGAGGATGGTTCTGGTGTGGGTTCACAAACTTGTGGCACTTCCGGGAAGAGCATCGATGTTTCAGTCCACCAGCCATCAGCTTCCCAAGAGTCCCTTCTTGGCAGTGAGGGCATGTAGAAGAATGACATACTGGTGGAGTTGCAAATATCACTCACATTTGGCACATTTTGCAGGTGGTTCAACCACGTCTGCGTCTGAGAAGTCCGTTTCTACGTCCTTGGCAGGGCCCAGTGCAGGATTCGGTCCCGCCAACTCTGCATCTGAGAAATCGGTTTCTACGTCCTTGGGAGGACCCAGTGCAGGATTCGGAGTACCCTCATGCGTGTCATCTGCTTCTGCCATGATGCCTTGATTGGGCCCTGGCTCATCGCCTGCGTCCGAAGATTCCGAAGATGACCCCGAGGAGCTCGTGGAAGAAGAATCCGAAGATGACGATGCCGTACACGCTGCAGCAGCTAAAGCAAGGTCCTTTGTGGCTGAAGTCGATGGCAAGGCCAACGGCGATGTGTCCTTCTCGTCCTCCAAAGCACAGACCTTAGACGAACCGAACCGAATCACTGCTCTCAAGTCCTTGCAATTAGGTCATTCAACCTGCAACATATATGCGATCATGCGGCGGGTGGCCGCACCATTTTAGGCTTCTTGAGCAAAGTCAACAATCTGCTTTCCGCTTCCTTGGACCATGCACCAAGTAGCCCCGCAGGAGCTAATTTGAGGCCACGCTGCACATTGCAGACCATGGCCGCCAAATGCTTCTTGAGGACGGGTAGCCTTGATTCATGGATAGGCATTTGTCCATCCATCATTTTCTGCAGCAGGATCTGCAAAGGAGCTCCCGGTGTTGTTGGTGCGTTCTGAGCACCGACATCGAGCACCACGACAGCTTGACTGCCGTTCAAAGTGACGCTCCCGCTCACAGGAATGGCCATAGTGTCAAGACAGACAGTTGAAGAGAGAGTTGAAGCACGTTCGAGCAGGTTGCTGCGGTCATAAACACATGGAAGTTTGGAGACAAAGGATGCTCTGTACTTAGACAAATTTAGACTTGGGATTTCAGACTTGAGATTCTCAAGTCTGAACAGCTCATCCACGGATCCAAGATCCAAGATTTCAGAAAACTCTTGTCCAGAAATCTTGGATCCAAGATCCAAGATTTCAGAAAACTCTTGTCCAGAAATCTTGGATCCATGGATCTTGGGTGTAGGATCCATGGATCCAAGATTTCTGGATGGATCCAAGATTTCTGGATGGAACCAAGATTTCTGGACAAGAGTTTTCGGAAATCTTGGATCTTGGATCCATGGATCCAAGATTTCTGGACAAGAGTTTTCTGAAATCTTGGATCTTGGATATTGGATCCATGGATCCAAGATTTCTGGACAAGAGTTTTCTGAAATCTTGGATCTTGGATCCGTGGATCCAAGATTTCTGGACAACAGTTTTCTGAAATCTTGGATCTTGGATCCATGGATCCAAGATTTCTGGACAAGAGTTTTCTGAAATCTTGGATCTTGGATCCGTGGATGAGCTGTTCAGACTTGAGAATCTCAAGTCTGAAATCCCAAGTCTGAATTTGTCTAAGTAAAGAACATGAAATTCGATGCCCGGACACTGTTTTGGTTGCGTTGAGCCAAGCAAATGTTTGGTAGCATTGAGGCAAGCAGATGTTTGGTTGCATTGAGGCAAGCAGATGTACATTGGATCATTGCATTGGGTTTGAAAAGCGTTGGAAACACCATGAAGTGTGGATCTCAGGGGGGGGTACCATATATATATATATGATCCTATATGTACCTATGGTGGATAGGTGGATTGTCGGCCATGAGAAACCACAGCTGTTGGGAACATGGAGCAGCCACATAAAGTAGGAGCGGAGAGAACTCAGACTCGGTCGGAGGTCATCGCTAGTAGGTTGGATGCACTAAAGAGTCCAGCAAATACTGGAGACATCTGGAGACTAAAGCAACGAACTGCGACACTGAATGGATTCCAAATGGTGTTTCAGCCGTCGATTCAGAAAGCCAACTAAGGAGCCGAGACCGGGCAAACATCAAATCAGAAAACAATCAAAGGATGAGAAACAAATGAAGCGAGAAAACAGCCCTTGCCTCACCCAACAAATTTTGAGAGGCATTTGGAGCAAGAACATTGTTTGTGGGACTTTAGTCAGAAGCATGCACGTTACGCAGCAAAATAACATCAATTTAACGTGCTTGCTTCAAGTGCCTTTCCTGCCAACCTGCTAGAAATGAGTACAGCAGCAAGCTTCTCCAAATAGTCGCTCTTATCTTGCTTCTGGAGACTTGAAAGAATCCTTCCAATTTGAAAACTCTACTGACATGTATATAGTGGTTATTCTGTTTCACAAGTCCAGCTTGAGTGCTGGTTCTTGCATTCACCTCTCTGCATTCCATCCAAATCCATCTCGACATATGTCTGCCATCATGTATATAAAGGAACATGGTGTTCAAACTAGTTAGTCAGGCTTCCAAACCTGGATCCAAGCTTCTTAAGCTCATATGTTCTGCCTTATAAACTTATACATCTTGTAATTGCTTCCATTGCGGGAAAAGTCTGAACAGGTCATTGCGTAAAGAAAACGTTATACCAAACTAAGCTCCTTGCATATGTCCGGAGCGTACAACTTGCCTGTGACAGTGCCATCCTCTTCATCCTCTAGAATGAGCTTGCTCAGAGATTGATGTACATGGGTAGCTGAAGCTTTGACCAATGCCAAGTCTGCATCCTCCATCACGATGTCAAGCGGTATGGTGCCGTTTAGTTCGATCACTGCATACTCAGCTTCATCGGTGCATCCGGACCAGGCGTTCACCTTGCAAGTCCCATGAACACACAAGGCAAACGGTAAATGGGGAAGGGGGGCTCCGTAACAAACAAGGAAAGACCATTAAACATGAATAATGAATAATAATGATTACAACTGACTATGACTGCTAGTGAAACCCGAAATGACAAGCAACATGTAAGCATGATCGACTGCTGCCAGGATTCCTCCAAATCCGACCCCTTGGTCAGGTCTGTGCAGGTCACGGTGGTGGTGGTGGTGGTGGTCGTCACTGAGCAGCCCTGTACTACACGGACCGGAGATTTTTCAGGGAACGTCAATCCCATGAACTGAGCCTCGGCGCAAATCTCAGGGGCGTACAGCTTGGCCTCAGCGAAGACTGGGGGCTTCAGTGATACAGAAATAGACAGGAATAATATGGGGATGGCTCAAAACCTGGAGCCCCACCACCATGGAATATGACCCCCGAGGTAGACCAACCAAGGCAACCGGGTTTTGACCCACAGCCACATCTTTGCACATCTTTAGGTTCATTAGAAACTCTTGAAGCAAAGCAAATTGTGGTAGATTCAGTTCTTCTTTCATGTGTCCTCTTTGTCTCTCTTCGAAAAGTGCTGCTACCTTCAAGGAGAACATGGACCGAACATTCTTGGAAGCACGTGATACATTCTTGTTGCACTGTGTTGGGGATTGGTGTCTTTTCCCTTTTCACGGATTTCTTGTCATCCTCCGAACGTCTTCATTGAGGGCTGCAGAAGCTGTTATGCATCTGTTACCTCGTTTGCTCCAAAAAAACAAATGTCAGGCCTTTTCTTTCATGCTGAGCAACTGTGATGAGATCTCCATCCGATTCGAAAATGATTCGCTGCACTGACTCTTGGACGGATTTTCGATTTGCATTGACAATGGCCAAGTCTGCATCCTCAATGTCCGCTTCAAGTGGATCACTTCCACGAAGCTTCATAGTCACCTTTGAAGCAATAAAACAAACACACACACACACACACCCAGGCACGCTATTAGGTTGGAGGCCATGTCACAAGCATCGCAACATTCCAAATTCTTGCACAATAGGTCCAAGGAATCCACCTAGACTCCTAGACATGTCATTCTATTAAATAATCTGTTGGTAGTCCAAGAACAAATCTCTTGCTGACTTGATGTCAATCTAAGAAGAACCCAGATATCGTATCAACATGTACAAACAAAGTACGGGCAACCAAGCTCTTAGCCCCAGTAGGTGTCACAGTACTGTGGCGTACATGAATCATCATGCTCCTCTAAATGCACGTGTGGCCTGATCCTGTCGATCCTTCTGTCGGCTTAGTCTGATTGGTCAGTGTGCCTAGTGCTAATACTTGGAGTCCTGAAGAATGCTTATTGTTCATGTTGATATAACATGATATAACAGGAGTCCCCTACTACCAACATCTGCAGGGTCCAATTCAACAGGTCCCCGAATGAGGGGTAACAAACATATACAAAAATCACGTTCTAATACTTTCTAGATCCTTTTGTACATCCAGCAGTGCAAGTACCTGTTTTCAAGTTCGCACTAATTGCATTCATGTCACATGGTCGCTTCCAGTGGCACAGAAAGCTGTTGATTCCACTACCAGTGTCAAGCCTTGAGTCAAATCGGTACATAAGTCTGCAGAAGATGTGACAGTCTTGGCAGTGGTGGTAGTTGTGGTGGTGGTGACAGCCTTTGCTTCGCAGTTTTTGAGAATTTTGATCCTGGAACCTGCTGGGAACAATAGCTGCAAAAAGTCTGTATGGGTGCAAATGCCGACAGCAAAAAGAGTCATCTCCACCCTATGAGTATTGTGTTCGTTTGAATCTGTGACTTCCAGGCTGATCTTCTCAACAGCTCTCTGCGATGAGACATCATCGACATCGATAACTGCCAAATTGCCTTGAATGTAGGTATCCAAAAGGTCAACATCACCGAAGCCTTTCATCTTCAAAGAAACTTGACCAGTACCGGAACACTTTGCAGGAGACTGAACCTCCAGGACCACGTGTTCGGTCAGGTCAGTGCAACCAGTAATCTGTGGGTTCACTGCTTTGGGCATGTCAGCAACTGTTGTGCTCGTAGATGTGAAAGTAGTGGTAGAAGTCCCAGTTGATGTCGAAGTGCTGGTTCCAGTCGACGTTGATGTGCTGGTGCCCGTGCTTGTTGATGTGCTGGTACCAGTAGACGTTGACGTGCTGGTACCTGTACTTGTTGACGTGCTGGTTCCAGTCGACGTTGA